GAATGGAATAGAAATAAAGAAGGGACGCGATGGGATGGGATGGAGATGGAATAGGAAGAGATTCTTTATTGGCCAAGTGTGATTGGACACATAAGGAATTTATAACTAGTACAGCAGTTTCTTAGCACTTGCTAGCAAGAAAACCAGTTTAGCTTCCTTGTTGGTGTACCTACTCCAGGACAGCAACTAATCTCTGCTGTAAAGGCCATTTGGCTCAACTCCTAAACAGATGAGAGATCCAAGAATTTCTCCCTGCAGATACTAAACGAGGATCCAAGTGGCCCATTGACCGTTTTTTAAATATGATGTGAAGGTAAAAGTTCCCCTCGCACATATGTGCTAGTCGTTCCTGACTCTAGGGGGGCGATGCTCATCTCCATTTCAAAGCCGAAGAGCCAGCGCTGTCCAAAGACATCTCCGTGGTCATGTGGCTGGCATGACTAACCACCGAAGGCGCACGGAGCGCTGTTACCTTCCCACCAAAGTGGGTTCCTATTTTTCTACTTGCATTTTTACATGCTTTTGATCTGCTAGGTTGGCAGAAGCTGGGACAAATAACGGGAGCTCACTCCGTTACGCAGCGCTAGGGATTTGAACCGCCAAACTGCCGACCTTTCGATCGACAAGCTCAGCGTCTTAGCCACTGAGCCACCACATCCCAAATATGATGTATACATGCATACATTTTCATCCCGTTTCACCTCTGCAGACAGTGAGACCACAGTGAGACCAAGGTTACCAGTTTGCCTTTATTTGTTAATTGGTTTGAATTAAGCCATTTAGTACAAGAATCCCAGAAAAAAAGGGAAATCAACTTATATCCCCAAAAAAAAGAACTGCAGCACATCAGAGGCAACAAGGAAACATGGGCTGTTAAAAACACAGGCACATATAGACAGGCCAGTATGGCAGTGGTCGCTTCACAGTATCGGGGGGGAACAGGGGACGGTCACGTCGTCTGCTTCCCGTTCGAAGTGCTGCCTCGCTCACGGAGGCATCGTACAGAGGAAAGAGCAGGGAGCCATTTCCTTGGGGCCGTCAAGCCGTGGCTGGCCCACATGCAGCGGAATAAGGTGGCAGGAAAGCCACGGTGGGAGAGGGAGGGCAGCCGTGGCCACTTAACTACAGCTGCAACTAGGATGCTTTGGTGCTCCTGCATACATTGCAAGACGGGACAACAAACCGGGTTAAGAACAAAGCATCGCAATCTGCACACGTCAAGGATTCAAAAATCAACCGCAGGCTGCAAGGAGGACCCCCATTTTTCATCTCAGAAATCTAACATCCAATTTTGTGCAATGGGTAGAGACAGAGCCAACCTGCCAGGGGGGGGGGGGGGGGAATGATCAGCCATGGAACCAATTCCCTGCAGATTCCCAGGTCAGAGTCTGCACCGTGTTTTACATGTAGTCCTCGGCTTACAGCCATCCGTTTAACGATGGTTTGAAAGTTACAATCGACATGATCAAGGTAATTGACGACCCATCCTCAAAGTTACGACCATTCCATCAATAATCAATAGTCCTCATTATATACCTTGACTTACGGCCACAAATGAGCAAAGCAAGTTTCTATTGCTCAGCGAGACACAGGCTTAAGTGAATCTTGCCCCATTTTGTGACCTTTCTTGCCTCGTTTGTTAAGCGAATCGCGTCTGTGGTTAATTTAGTCACAGGGGTTGTTAAGTGAATCAGGCTTCCCACATCGACATTGGAGACACTGCAACTGTCATACATATGAGTCACGGCGCCACGGTCGTTAAGAGTGAAAAAATGGTCCTAAGTCACTTTTTTTCAGTGCTGTTGTAACTTTGGACAGTCCCTAAATGAACTGCTGTAAGTGGAGGACTACCTGTACATCATCCCTGCAAGGGTAAGATCAGGATTGTGATCTGGTTGCTTGGCAACCAGCTCACATTTACAATGGTTACAGCATCCTGTAGTCATGTGATTGAAATTTTAACCTTCACCTTCCCAGCTAGCTCCTGGCTTGTATGATTCACATTAACAACTTTCTGATTTGCTTAACCACCATAGCAAAAAAAATGGTTGTCAATTTGGGTCCAGTCGCATGATGATTCACTTAATCATCATTAGCGGCCAAAACTCTGGTTCCAATTGTGGTCGTAACTCGAAGACTAGCCTCTGTAGTCAAAGGCATTAAAAGATCCTCCCATTTAAGCTGCATTTAAGCTTCAAATCCAGTAGCACGTCATTTCGGAACTGCAATGTGCATCTTAAGATCTCTCTGATCAAATAAGTATTGATAGAACGACCTTGCAACTATCCAACGTTTAGTGATATTCAGGTGGAAATAGTCACTGCCCACCCAGCCAAGTGCCAGAAATTCATGGAATTGAAAGAAAAAGTGCTTGGCAATCACTTTAGCACACCCATAATCATTACATTGCACCATAGAAGATTGTAGACCCTTACATCTATTTTCATTTTCAGGACATTTCAAGGTTTCGTTTAACCTGGCCAGGATTTATTTCTGAACCTGGGTGCTCTCGAGATCTTGGGACGTTCAACCTTAGGTAGAACTAACAATAGTTAAAACCACCCCCAAGGTTGCTCCGTCTCCCCAGCCCGATACAACCCACCACATGGATTAAGTTCCAACATTATCTTCTTTCATGGATCATTAAGCCCCTTTCCCTCCCCGCCCCCCCGTGTCTTTGCAAAACTACAAGAGAAACAGCTTCCAATGTTTTTCAAGTTCCTGGAAAAACAAGGAATAGAAGCCATGGAGAATGTGGGATAACCAGGAAGTGTTTTTGTTTTTTTTTACCGGGGGGGGGGGGTGTTTCGTTTCGTTACAAAAAAGTGGTAAAGCTAGTGCAATTTCTGTGTTAAACCCAGATGTGGAACTGGAGGAGGGAATCAATCCCAGATCTAAAACTCTTAGCGCAGGTCCGAGACATCCTACGCCGAAAGCTGTTTAGTTGAAGATGTCGGATTTAATTGCATATCCTTCTGAACGTAGAGACGAATGACGTTGTGGATCAGCGGGGAACGTCTGCAGTGAGATCCTCCAGATCTTGCCACACAAGAGTGCCAGCCAGCTGGGGTGGCCAAGATCCCAAACTCTGGAGGAACTCAGCCCCTTTACCCATCCCACCCACCCACCCGAAAAAAAAGATCCCAACGGGTGGCTTCAAAATAACGCAATTAAGGCTGTTGTCCTGTTGTGCATAAACCTGGGCATCAGTCTTGCATTCCTCTGTGGGGTTGACTTCCAAGCGAGTGTGCCCAGGAGCAGGCGATGGATTTCAGGGGGAAGGAGACTTAGAACTTGTGCTTGGCTCTGTCTGAAAGCAATAGGATCCCAAAGTGCTTGAATTAAAATTTGGAGTGCATTCAAGAATGTGTGTCTCTGTGTGTTTGTGTGTGTGTCTGTGTGTGTCTGTGTGTGTCTGTGTGTAGTATGTATATATGTATATGTGTGTATATATGTGTGTGTGTGTATTATGTCACTAAGAGTATGGCTAGCTGATTATATGTGTTTGTGTGTGTGAGAGATGTCACTCAGGATATGGCTAGCTGATGAGAGCTAAATAGCTTGAAATATGTCTATAATATATCTATATATATATATATATATTCGGGTCTTTTCCCATGTAAGACTGAGATTGTCTTGGCAACGTTTCGGCGAGGTCTCACTTGCCATCTTGAGGCTGGGTTTTGGGCTTTAAGCGTTGTGGGAGCTGCTTTAAGCCGAAAACACCAGTCTGAGGATGGTGACCTCGCCGAAACGTTGCCAAGGCAATCTCAATCTTACATGGGAAAAGACCCTATATATATATATCCGTGATGCATTCCCATTGTTGCTTATTTTGCTTCCTCCTTTTATTTTTCCCAAATGAAATCTGACAATATAATAATTTGAAAAGGAGCCTAGGAAAGTGCTTTGGGGAAGGGGGGGGGGGAGGATTTTCTTTTTTCTCCCCAGTCCAATGTTTCTCAGCCTTAGGCAACTTTTAAAAGGCGTGGACTTCAACTCTCATGAATTCCCCCANAGAGGAGGAATTCTGGGAGTTGAAGTCCACAAGTCTTAAAGCTGTCAAGTTTGAACACCCCTGGGTTTTTTTTTCCTAAAGGGTTAGGGGTACAAGGGTCTTGTAACTTGACAGTTTTAAGACTTGCACACTTCAATGCCAGAGTTCCTGAGCCAACATTTTGGTTGCTAAGCAAGAGCGTTATTAAGTGAGTTTAACCACATTTTACAAGTTGGCCACGCCCACCCAGTCACATGGCTGCCAAGCCTCTCCCACCTGGTCACATGGCTGACAAGCCACTCCCACCCAGTCACATGACCAGCAAGCCACTCCCACAAAGCAGGCCACACCTACAGAAGAGGTTCTAAAAAAATTTGAAACCCACCACTGGACGGTGGGCACGCTGGTGCGCTGATGCATGCCCCCTTAGGAAGCTCTTAAGAAATGCATAAGGCCCACGGTAGAAATTATAAGCTTATTATAATTTAGTATATAATAAGATTTATTTATATTTTTATGGAAGGAATTATAATAATAATGTCAAAGCTGAAGAAGCTTCTTGGATGAGAAGTGAAACATCTTCAAAGAAAAAACAAGGAAATCCAGTTGCGTCTTGAAAAAGCACCTTTGGGACAACCAGGACTTGGATGACTGAGAATCTCCATAAATATTTAGTGATTGGGAACTTTGAAGATAGGGAAAAGATTGGAGTGAAACTGAAAGGCAGCATTAGGTATGGAGCAATAGCTATGCTCAACAACTAGCCAGGAAAAGAAAATAGTTCTCATCAGCTCCCCGTTCTTTGCAAAAATTGATAAAAGCTGCAAAATTCAAAACAACTCAAAACAGTCTTAACTTTCTAAGAGAAAAGTTGGATGGCAGAAAGTCTAGTCAAGAGAAATTACACCACCACCACCCCAAAGGCAGCAAAATGTCCTTTATAATGTGGCTCTTTGCAATAAATATATGTATATGATCTTTCTTTTCACCGGTTCACTTTTAGCAACAGTGCTGTGGTGCCAATGATCCCTTGGATTGGGTAAACTATACCTCCGTCTTTCGAAGTAGATTCCCTGAAGCCGTGGCACCTTGGCCATTCTACTGCTGCAAACGTGATCGGAACTTTATCATGGTCAATGAGGAGGGCTGCAGATTGGGCCACATTGATTATATCAACACTGAGGTACCAAGGTCTTCCATCTTGGGTCCTGATGTTTACCTATCATTTTGGCATTCTTGGCAGTGGTGGTGATTCATTTTTTTTTTTNACTGCAGGCTGCTTCTGCTGACTGCCGGCTGCCTGCAATTTGGCAGTTCAAATCTCACCAGGCTCAAGGTTGACTCAGCCTTCCATCCTTCCGAGTTGGGTAAAATGAGGACCCAAATAGTTGGGGGGGGGGGAGAATAGGCTGACTCTGTAAACCACTTAGAGAGGGTTGTAAAGCACTGTGAAGCGGTATATAAGCCTAAGGGCTATTGCTCCTATCTTAAAATCACCAAAGTTGAGAAACTCCACCCCATCTGGTCCCCAACAACTGCTTCAGAGGAAGAAAGGCATAAAGGCCCCTCTCCCTTCTTCCTTCCCCTTATATCTAAAATACTGTCTTGTGGAACATGCATAACCACTTTCACAGACACACTCACACATGCGCCAACTCCAGACATGAATGTATATATCAACTAGACGTGAATCCCGCTCTCAAGCACACCTCAAAGCCTGCAGCTCAGTCACACAGAGCCCTCCCATGCTAGGCACGTACTGGATGCATCTTCTCTCTTCCCCACCAACCCGCCCCTCCCTGGTCCTTTTGTAAAACACACACACACACACACCCATTCCGAAATCCTAAATAAATACAGAAACGCACGAGACCAACATGCTCCCCCTGGCTTTTTTCTCAACCTGCCACTCTGCCTAAGCTGCAAACTCCCAAGGGGCGTGGGCTCTTGTAAGAGGAGGTGGCGAGCGTGCCCACCTGCTTTCCTTGGTGGCATCTTAGACATATCCTTGGACATCAATGTCCCAGCCCAGGGGATGGCTTTCTTCCGGGAATTGGCTTAATCTCTGGGAAAACCAGCAGGGGAAAGTGGTTAATATTTTAATTGGGTTAAAGGGGATGCTTATTACAAGTTAGGACTATTTTGGTTTGAATGCTGGAAGAGAAGAGGAAGACGGGCTCGGGTAGCTGTTAACGGCTGACTCTCTCTCTCTCTCCCCTCCAACGCCTGCAGTCTTCCCCAGCGGTGAGCAAAACACGGTCAACAGCGCCTCCCTGTGTCAGTTCGGTGCACGGTTAGCAACCCTGGCTGGATTTCCAAGCATCCTATTGTGTGATTCATGTTGCCAAAGCGGTCGAGATGATGTCACCTGGAAGGAATCAGCTGCAGTCATCCCATTGGAAGCAAAACACTTTCCTCTGAGGTTATATGTCCCTGGATGGAAAGAGGGCAAGGTGGAACAAAGCAACACGGGGCGGACCCGAAACAGGAAGATGGGACACACAAATGGAACTGGCAGGAGTGTTATGACGCCGTCGAATGTTCTTCGGTGTGATGTCCATGCTGATTTTCTGGAGAAAACCTCCTGCAGGGATAGGACCTGCCTTGAAAGATTCGTGTGCTCTCCAAACCTTGCAGAGGTCCTCCAAATGAGGCAGGCAAAAATTGCCCGACGCGGGAGCCGAAGACGCGACCTCTGCATTAACCTAGTCGGATAGATCCTTCTGAAATCTTTAATTTTTTGTTCACAGCAATCCGTACCGTGTAATTCCATGAATACTGGCAAGGAAGAGGAGAGGACAGAAACCTGGAGCCCAGCCCCGAGGATCCACACTGTGCATCTGGTCATACCGCCTGTCCTTCAGCAGTAGCTGTGCGTCTGGCCCTCAGCATACACTGTCCAGCTGGGTCCGAGGTAGCACCCGGACGGAGAGCCCTCTCTCCTTTCCACATTGCCATACTGTGGGGAAGATTCATCCAGCTTCTGCAAAGGTGCTGAGGCCTGGCTCCCCACGCGGGGGGTGGGCCCGTCGTAGGTAATAATGGGTTCCGGACCGTAAGAGGGATGACCCCAACACGCAGAGGGCGGGCGGTAGAACTGCCACACGGCGCGACTGCAAGGCAAAACGTCCATCAGTTGGCGGTGTTGCCCCGAGGGCGTGTAACCCCAGGCCAGCTTCTGCTTCTGAGGCAGGGGAGGTCTGCTGGGCTGGGGCAAAGCCTGAGGAGCGCCCGGGTCAGAATGGCTACGGGAATGGGATGCTTCAGGGGGAGGGGACGGCGTGGGGCTGGCCAACGAGGGCTCGGGGAAGGGCACGTTGACGTAGATGGGCTCCTGGCGTGTGACCGCGGGTGGCATCGACTGGATCTGCAGCTGGGAGTTCTTTAAGATGGGCTGAAGAGAGGAGGCAGCCGGGGGGAGATGGGTCTGGCGCCAGGGCCTCTCAAAGACCCCGTAGGAGGCGTTGAAAGTGGCCAGATACTCGGGGGGTGGACAAGAGGGCCAGGGGCGTGCCAGGCCGGGATAGGCAGGAGGCTCCCCCACAATCTCGTAATAGAGGTTCTCGTGCTCCAACTGAGAAGGGGGGCTCCCATTGACCCCCAGTCGAGAGGAGGCCGAGAAGTGGCTGTGATGCCGGAGCGGGTGGTCCGTGGGGCAGGGCTGAAAAGTGGAGGACCTCGTTTTGAGGGGCAAATGAGTGGTCATTAGGGGAAAGTGGGGAGGGGGCGGAGGTTTAGGCGGGGCAGCCGAGGGGCTGGACGAAGGGAAGGCGTCTTGAAGCTGGTGGAAAGCTGGATAGGGGACCGACAGGGGTGGGGGATGTAAACCGTAGGCGGGAGACGGGGAGGACAGATAGTAGGGGTCCGAGAAAGGAAGTGCCTGAGGGTCCCTCTGGTCTAGCTCAGCGAGGACCCTCCTGTAAGAGGAAAAGGAATCCGAGCTACACAAGGGAGAAGATTGGCTGAGAGGCACCTGCAGAGAAACAAGGCAAACTGAATGAGCAGCAAGAAGGCATTTCAAGCAGGCAAACACCTCCCCACCCTCGCCCCTTCCTTCGCCCCCTTCCTCTTCTACTCCACCCCATCCTCCTCCTGGAGCTAAAATCTCCATCACGTTGGCCAGAAAAGCCAGCACGGGTTTCCTCCGGATCACGAGGAAGCTCAGGACAAGCGGGGGCTCTTTACCATACTCTCTTATCTTTTCGCCCAGATTGCAACATGGTGGGAAAATTGCAGCAAGAAATAACCAGGAGGAAAAAAAATATATCCTTCTAGAAATATTCCAAAATCTGCACCCTGCCTAATGGCAAAGTTATCCCAGCTCGGTCCCAGCCCTTTGTGAGCTGATCCCTCACCTGGCTGCCTCCCTTTAAGTTGCGGCTTTGACTGCCGATGCTCCTGCCCCTGGCCTGCGCCTGGAGAGGGGAGAGGCCAGGCGCCTTGGGGCTCGGGCGCACCATGGAGTAGAGCGCTTGTGCGCCGCTCGTCAGCTCCCCTGCCTTGCACTCCAGCGACAGAGAGCGCCGGAAATGCGTCCGGGGTTCCCGCTGCTTCAGGCTGGCCTGTCGCTTTTGCTGCAAGGCTGCCTGGTGCGCACTCTCAGCCAGCGCCAGCGCCATCAGGCGAGCCGGGTTCTTGGGTGGAGGAGGAGGCGGGATATGCCGCAGCAGGGACAATGCACCGGGAGACACGGGAGCGGCTTCAGACTTCGGACCTGAATTGGGAAAAGAAAGAGGGCAGCGTAAGGATTGCATTAGGGAAAAAGAAAGGCAAAGGTTTCCCCTGTTCAGTTGTCTCCCACTCTAGGGGGCGGTGCTCAACTCTGTTTCTCAGCCAGCATTGTCCCAACACCCTTCTGTGGTCATGTGGCCAGCAGGNGGGGCAATATGCTGACTCTCTGTAAACCGCTTAGAGAGGCCTGAAAGGCCTATGAAGCGGTATATAAGTCTACTGCTATTGCTATATGTTGTAGAACATAGCAGAGGTGCCTGAAAATTGTTTATATTATTGGAAATTATGTCCATTCTAATAGCATTCATTTACTCTGCTTGCTATCCTGACATTGATATTAGATTTAGAGGGTATACCATAATATTATTAAAGCTCCAGGCTTTGAAGCAGAACATGTAAAAATATTTGCAAGACTTCTTCTATGAGGTATTGTTGCACATGGCAGCATTTATAATAAACTAGAAATAAATTATATCATCATTGCAACTCTTAGATAGAAGCATTTTTTGCTCATATCTTAGCACAAAAATCCAGAACAAGGATGGTTCACAGAAAATTACATTCCAGCAGTTCAAAGCATTTCACACAAAGAAGGCTGGATCCAGAAAGGCAATATACAAAAACTACCTTTCACCATGTGTTACAGTATGGCCTATTTAACTATTCTCTGAGAACAAATTGCAATTGGTTTCACACTATGAATGAGTTATGGCTATGACATAAATCATTATTTACAAACCAAATTGCTGGGTTCCTGCAAAATAAAAAATGAGAATTACAGAAACCATATGATATATCAGTGTGAAATATGATTCAAGGTTCAGAATATTTAATGGCTGTAATAAATGTCATTAATTTTCATGGGGTCTGTTCTAGCTGGCTAAATCTAGCTCCAACTCATATGATTAATCCTACAATCATATATACTTTGGATCATAGATTGCATTGAAGGTGGATCCAGAGAAATAACAAATTTTTGATTAACTTGAGACTGGAACACTGGACTTTCTTATATAGGTCTCGATGTTATTTTATGATCTTGTCAGAACATGGATCAAATGAAGATTAGCTCAAGCTTCATGCTATTGATTCTTACCAAAACCTTGTAATTATTGAAATGGTACAAGTAGCTACTTCTGTTTGTGCTCCTCTAAGAAAGTGGCTTCTTTCATATTGACAGGGTCAAAACAGCTAATGCACAGACTTCTCTTATGAACTTTAAATGGGGGAGTCAGCATCCAGGTTCAGAATAAAGCCATGTTATAAGACAATTAGCAGTGCAAAACTATTTTCCCTTCTCTGAGCAGTGATCAGAAGAGCATCTTTCTATTCCTGCATTTATTGCACACTTCATTTATCACAAATAAAAGTGATGCCAAAGAGAAAAGGGTCTTGTTGCTTGAGGAGAATAGAAGAAAAAAATCACTAGGTATTTCCTGACTAAGATTGTTGTGTGTGGAGACTGGAGTCATATTCCTATGGTGTATATACTCATGAAAAGTGAGTATGACGTTGACCATGCTTTTATCATGGTGTGAGTTAGCAGTAAAAGGACCCCATGCTAGCAAGTAGGGCTTGCATTGTATTGGACTTGAGAGGTAGTCCAAACAATAAGCATAACCAGGAGCAATAGTTGTGTCTTTATTGTAAAATTACATTAACAGAATGTTGAAATCAGTGGTGGGATTCAAATTTTTTTATTACTGGTTCTGTGGGTGTGGCTTGGTGGGTGCGCCAAGGAAAGGATACTATAAAATCTCCATTCCCTCCCCACTCCAGGGGAAGCTTACTGTAAAATCCCTATTTCCTCCTGATCAGCTAGGACTTGGGAGGCAGAGAATAGATGGGGGTAGGGCCAGCCAGAGGTGGTATTTACTGGTTCTATGAACTACTGAAAATTTCCACTACCGGTTCTCCAAAACTGGTCAGAACCTGTTGAATACCACCTCTGGTTGAAATTCTGAAAGAACCCTCCCATCCCTCATTTTTACTCTTCCCAAAACTTGGGAAAGTCCCTTTTGAGGTGGTTTATCTACCCTTCTCCTTTGGACTCAAATGTTATTAATCAAATTATTGTCTAGGATGTGGTTCTTCCTTCTGTCTCCCAAAGTCATTCCAACATACTATTACACATTGTGATGTTGCAACATTGCTTGCATCACTCTGCCTCCCCTCCCACCTGTCAATGCATCATCAAAATGGATTCATAACCAAATAACCAAGTATTAAAAGAGTCAGCATTTAACACTATTGTAACTTTTTAAGATTTGGAAAATCAAATCTCTACTGTGGATAGGAGAGCCAAAATAAATTTATACATATTTGAAATTTACAGTATATGATTCATTATTTTGAATTTAAATATTTTTAACATTTGCTTGTCAAATTCTGGTGTAAGATAAATAGCTGTATTTGAATACCAAATAAATTAGATGGATGATTGAATAGATAGATGATAGATAGATAGATAGATAGATAGATAGATAGATAGATAGATAGATAGGTGATAGTGATAGAAAGAAAGTTAGATGATAGATATAGATAGATAGAAAGAAAAAAGAAAAAGAAAGGAAGAAAAAAGATAGCTAGATAGCTAGATAGATAGCTAGAAACATACATAGATAGATACATAGATAGATACATAGATGAATAGATCGGTAGAGTTTCCCAGTTCTGAGTCTTGTCATCCTTCCTCCTTTTAGTCTAGCTAAATGGGAAACATTTATCTGAAACATTCTACTTCTAAATTTTGATGACTCCGTGAGTCTGACTTAAGCTTTTAAAGACTTTTAATTTAAATTTGCAAGGCTTTAATATTGCTGGCTAAGTTTATAATGACTTTGTTGTTTCCTTCTCCATTGAACTTTCTACCTCTTTATCAAGTGTAGAGCTCCTGCTAGGAGCCAATTAATTCTATCAAAAAACATGTGCATCTATTAAGAGAATCGTCCTCTGTCTTCCTGCAACTACATAGATGGCATTAATTATAATAGAATGTTTATATATTTAAGGGATGAAGATTGGAAGAAAAGACACCTATTTATATTTGAATAAAATTTGGCTCAGGCTTGAAAACTATAATGCTGGAATAAATCATTGCAATTACTGATGAAGTTATTAACTGTAGACATGTTCTGAAGATATAACCAATTTTAATCTAGGGATATTTAACACCTAATTACTTTAGAATGTTTAAGAAAAATACTGAATATATTTTTTTCTGCCTTGAATAGCACAGTGTAATAGGGAGATGAAAGAAAGATAGTAGCTCAGCTATTGTCCCTAATTGCAGCTGATCTGGAATCTAGAAAAGAGTCCTTGTCCTGATTCACCAATGATGGTAGTTGATGAAATGCCATAAAATTCAAGCATTTCAGCAAAAGAGCTTTGGTAAAGACGTGTTCCTGTGGTTTTTCTTGTTTTCATTTAGAAAGCAATGCATGTCTTTGATTAAAACAGATAAACAGATGAGTAGTCTATTTTAGTGGTCTAATTCCAAAATGGTTTGTAATACTATTTAGATGCCTTCAAGTTAGGGAAACTCAATACTGGGAAGAGGCTTTGAGTTGTCTTCCAGTGGCAATGAAGTATCTTCTTTATTTACTGCGGAACAAGATAGTAGTGTAATATCGTATATTAAACAAATAATGATATGAGTGTTGACTTAAAGGTAAGAAAGATTGTCAAAGGCCTTGCAGCATCAGTTAACTACTATTAGAGTAACGAATGTAGAAACCAATATTTTACAATTAGATGATTGGTAAACAACTTTTGAAACTTCTGTAGTGACTAATATGAATGATGAATCCTTATCTCCTACAGTAGTGACAAAGAAACGTGTAAGGCATATAGGAGAGGACAAATGATTTTCTATGAAGCACATAAGAAAAAAAGAGAAAGGAATTATAAGAAGAAAAATAATGTAGAGAGGTTAAGTTTCTACTGTCTCTGTTATACTCATTTCCTCCATATTTTTTAAAGGAATTGCAAATTGGAAAATATGTTAAATAAATTGCTTTCTGCTAAGGCAGGCTTTGCATTAACTAAGGTGACCAGACGACCCGATTTCAGTGTGACAATCAAGCTTTATAACAATTTTTCCCGTGTCCCTCCGCGTTTTAAAAAAGTCCCGATTTTTTTCTGGCTTCATGTTGAAAGCCCAGTGGATTTGCTTAAGAAATCCTAACCGGGGCAAGAAATTCTAACCGGGGCAAGAAAAAAGACACCCTGTCTAACTAACCTCTCTCTCTGTCTCAGTACTTTCATTGAAGATATTAAAACTTTAAAGCAAGAAAACGGACTCCCCCCCGCCCTTACT